AAAGATATCACACACAAAAATTACAGGCCAAAATCATTGATGAATATAGAGGCAAAAATTCTCAACAAAATACTGGCAAACTTAATCCAACAATAAAATAAAATGATCATACATCCATGATCAAAATTGACTTGTCCCAGGGGTGCAAGGATTTTTCAACATCTGTAAATCAGTGTGATATACTACATGAACAAATTGAAGAATAAAAATGATATTATCATCTCAATAGATGCAGAAAAAGCTTCTGACAAAAGTGAACACCCAGTTATGACAAAAACTCTAGAGGGTACCTACCTCAGTCTAATAAAGGTCATATATGACAAAACCACAGCTTACATACTCAGTGGTGAAAAGCTGAAAGCTTTTCCTCTAAAGATGAGAAAGAAGACAAAGATATTCATTCTTGCCACTTTTATTCAACATAATTTTGGAAGTTCCAGCCACAACAATCAGAGAAGAAAATAAAGAAAAGGAATCCAAATTAGAACGGAAGAAGTAAAACTGCCACTGTTTGCAGACGACATGATAATATGAATAGAACATCCTAAATGCACCACCAGAAAACTACTAGAACTCATCAATGAATTCTGTAAAGTTTGCAGGATACAAAATTAATAGGCAGAAATATGCTGCATTTCTATACACTGAGAAGGAAAGATCACAAAGAAAAATTAGGGAATTAATCCCATTTACCATCACATCAAGAAGAATAAAATACCTAGGAATAAACTTACCTAAGGAAGGAAAAGACCTGTATTTAGAAAACTATAAGATACTAATGAAAGAAATCAAAGAAGACACAGATGGAAAGATTTACCATGTTCTTGGACTGAAATAATCAATATTGGCAAAATGACTACAATATCCCAGCCATCTACAGATTCAATGCAATCCCTATCAAATTAACAATGGCATTTTTCACAGAACTAGAACAAAAATGTTCACAATTTGTATGGAAACACAAAAGACCCCAAATAGACAAAGAAGTTTTGAAAAAGGAAAACAGAACTGGAAGAGTCATGCTCCCTGATTTCAAACTATATTATAAAGCTACAGTCATCAAAACAGTATGATACTGACACAAAAATAGTAATATAGATCAATGGAACAGGATAGAGAGCCTAGAAATAAACCCACACACCTATAGTCAATTAATCTCTGACAAAGAGGAAAGAATATACAATGGAGAAATGAAATTCTCGTCAATAAGTGGTGCTGAAAAAACTGAACAGCTATATATAAAAGAATGAAGTTAAAGCATTGTCTAACACCATTCACAAAAATAAACTAAAAATGGATTAAAGACCTAAATGTAAGACTAGATACAATAAAATTCTCAGAAAAAAACATAGGCAGAACACCCTTTGACATAAATCTCAGTAATATCTTTTTTGTATATACCTCCTAGAATATTCAAATTAAAACAAAAATTAAAAAATGGCCAAGTAATATTTCATTGTATATACATACCACATCTTTATCATATATTAGTGCATTATGTGGAATCTAGAAAAATGGTACAGATGACCTTATTTGCAAAAAGAAGTAGAGACACAGTTGTAGAGAAAAAAGGTATGGACACCAAGAGGGAGGCAGGATGGGATGAATTGGGGAATTGAGATTGACATATAGACACTATTGATAATATGTATAAAATAGAGAACTAATGAGAACATACTATATACCTCAGGGAACTCTACTCAGTGCTCTGTGGTGATCTAAATGGGAAGGAAATCCAAAAAAGAGGGGATATATCAATATGTATAGCTGATTCACTTTGTTGTACAGTAGAAACTAACACAACATTGTAAAGCAATGTTCAATACTATACTTGAATAAAAATTAATAAAATAAAAAAATAAAAGCAAAAAATAAGCAAATTGGACCTAACTAAACTTAAAAGCTTTTGCACAGCAAAGGAAACCATCAAGAAAATGAAAAGACAACCTACAGAACAGGAGAAAATATTTCCATATGAAGCGACCAACAACAGATTAATCTAAAAAATATAAAAACACCATGTGTAGCTCAATACCAAACAAACAAACAACCCAATCAGAAAATAGTCAGAAGATCTAAATATACATTTCTCCCAATAAGGCATACAAATGGCCAAAAAGTACATGAAAAAAATGCTCAATATTGCTAATTATTAGGCAAATGCAGATCCAAACTACAATAAGGTATCATCTCACGCTAGTCAGAATGGTCATCATAAAAAGTCAACAAACAATAAATGCTGGAGAGAGGATGTGAAGAAAAGGGAACTACACTGTTGGTGGGAATGTAAACTGGTGCAGCCGCTATGGAGAACAGTACGGAGGTTCTTTTAAAAACTAAAAGTAGAGTTACCATAAGATCTAGCGATCCCACTCCTGGGCATATATCTGGATAAAACCATAATTTGAAAAGATACATCCACCCCAAAGTTCATAGCAGCACTGTTAATATTTAGAATAGCCAGGACATGGAAGCAACCTAAATATTCATTAACAGAGGAATGAATAGAGAAGGTGTGGTATGGGATATATATATATATAATGGAATATTACTCAGACATAAAAGGAATGAAATAATGCCATTTGCAGAGATGTAGATGGCATCTAGAGATGATCATATTAAGTGAAGTAGGTCAGACAATGACAAATACCAAGTGATATCATTTATTTGTGCAATCTAAAAAATGATAAAAATCAACTTATTTACACAACAGACTCCCAGACTTAAAAAACAAGCTGATGGTTACCAAAGGGGAAAGGTGAAGGGAGGTTTAAATTAGGAGTTTGGGATTAACATACACATACTACTGTGGTGTTAGAGAAGACTCTTGAGAGTCCCTTGGACTGCAAGGAGATCCAACCAGTCCATCCTAAAGGAAATCAGTCCTGAATGTTCATTGGAAGGACTGATGCTGAAGCTGAAACTCCAATACTTTGGCCTCCTGATGCCAAGAGCTGACTCATTTGAAAAGACCCTGATGCTGGGAAAGATTGAAGGCAGGAGGAGAAGGGGATGATAGAGGATGAGATGGTTGGATGGCATCACCAACTCAATGGACGTGAGTCTGAGTAAACTCTGGGAGTTGGTGATGGACAGCGAGGCCTGGTATGCTGCAGTCCATGGGGTTGCAAAGAGTCGGACACGACTGAGTGACTGAACTGAACTACCATATATAAAATAGATAAGTAGTGAGGAACTACTATATAGCACAGGGAACTCTACTCAATATTCTGTAATAACCCATATGGGAAAAGAATCTGAAAAAGAATTGATATATGTTATTAGTATAACTGAATCACTTTGCTGTATACCTGAAAGTAACACAACACTGTAAATTAGCTATGGTGGTGGTGGTTTAGTTGCTAAGTCATGTCCGACTCTTGCAACCCCATGGACTGTAGCCCACCAGGCTCCTCTGTCCATGGGATTTTCCAGGCAAGAATACTGGAGTGGGTTGCCATTTCCTTCTCCAGGGGATCTTCCTGACCCAGGAATCGAACTCGGGTCTCCTGCATTGCAGGCAGATTCTTTACCGACTGAGCTATGAGGAAAGTCATAAATTAGCTATACTCCAATATAAAATAAAAATTAAATTAAAAAAAGATGAAAAATTAGGGTCATAAGTGATGAAGTAGTCAGAATTTGCTGCAGTAGTCAAATGGGATTTATTCTATGTTTTATTACTTCAATCATTCATATGTTCATGAATTATTTATATTGTTAAAATTAACAAAAAGTCATAAGCACCACAGAAAATTTTCTCAGAACAATACATCAACCTGTCACTTTTCATTTGCAGATTTTTTTTCTATGCAAGTATATACATTAATCTCATCAGAGAAATCTCTTTAATCTCTTGACTTCATAAAGGTGTTTCTTTGCTTCATATGTTTCTGTACTAAAATAAGGCTGGCATATACCTACTGTACAGCACAGGGTACTATACTCAGTATTTTGTAATAACCTACAAGGGAAAAGAATCAGAGTCAGCAGGGGGGGGGGGTAAAAGGAGTTGCTTGTGTTAATAAGTTCTTTGAATTGGGTAAGAGCTCCTTCCTTTTCTATCTATAGATTTGGCACCACAATGCCTCATTCTAAAACTGGACTTCCTGGTAGAGAAACAACTAGATATCTAACTGGGGAAACATTTAGAAAGGCTTGTTTCCCATCTCTTCTCCCCATCTCAATGCCTTTCCAGGTCCTTATTCAGCTGTATTCATTCCAGGTACAGTTTGTGATAACTATGACAAGTTCCCACTCAAAATCTCTGTCAGTTACTGCATTATTGGGACCAGCCTGGTACTAACAACATAAAGAAATGTTGAGGCACAAAAGTAAGCATAATATCACATAGAGACAAAGAATAGGTGGCAATGGAATACATGACATGAGAACTTAACTTTTAGCTCTTCACCAAAATATCTCAAGATGACTCAATAATCTGATGGGAGAAACATGGAGGGTAAAGTTCTGTTTATTTTTCCTTTGAGGGCTGCCTTTTAGAAAAGTATACTACATGGATGTGTAGCCTTGCTCATATATACTATCATTTATTTTTTCATGCATTAGACAATTCTAAAGCAGAATGGGAATGAGATTTTAAAGAAAATTTAACCAATGTGCATGAACCAGGGTAGAGTTGTTGCCCAATGATTGCATCAGTTCAAGAAAAGCACTACAAGTTACACTGGCAGAACTGTTCACAAACATGTTTAGCACTGTTTATTATGTTTCCTGATCTATCTGATTGGTTATAAGTTATAATATCACAAACTGGCAAGAAACCTTTCAAGCTGTCATCTAATCCTACCTAAGCCACCTATATTTGCTAAACAAATCTGGCTATACTTGCCTTTCTCCATCCAAATGGCACTTATGAGGTTGACATGCTTGCATAATCTTTCTGTACACTATTTTCCCTCTACACTACATTAGCGGTGTTAACATAGTCTTTATTAGTCTGCTGAGTGGAGAAAAGACTTCCTTCTCAACCTACTTACCTCGGTTGTCATCCTCATTTTCTTCCCAGGGCTCTTCATTTGCTAGCAATGGGTTCTGTGATTCATTCATAGACCTCATAGGGAAGGAGTGTCCATCACCAGGGCTGGTGGGAAAATGAAGGCAGTGAGATCTTGCAGCCTAGACTTTTTATGAAGGTAATAACCCTATTAGAAGCAGGAGGAAGGTTCTTAGAAATATTGAAACCCTTTAGCTTATTGGCTAAAGTCAAACTGGAATGGGCTCTTATAATAGCATCATTTAGTTACTCTATTGCTCTCAATTTCTATATCTCATTTGTTTGTCTGAATCAGTGTTGACTGTTTTTTGTTTTTAAGCAGCTGTTTAACTTGCTTCCCACAATGCCCAGTATAGCAAAATGCACATATAGCAAGTTTCATAAATATAATTTAATGATGATTCCAATTTATACCCCATTATATTATTGCTTTGGCTCTAAATTTTCAAGAAAAATTAGCAGATTCAGAGTCACTGAATTCGCTGGAGATAAGCTGCTATTAATTGGTGATAAATAATAATGATGTCTGAATGCCCTGTTGTTTGGCTTGTATGACAGAAAATTTATTAAGGGCTGGGGGGAAAGCAGCAGAGTGAGGCATTTCTTAGAGTGCAGATTCTGGGGGGCTATTATCCTACCTCAGAATTGATAGTTCTTGACAGAGGATATAACTACACTGATTATAAGTGAGTGGGCTTTGAGTTTTGCTCCTGTTCCTTATTTCAAAGAAGACTCATTGAAACTTCCCTTTGGTGGAGTGATTGTGTGTGTGTTTGTGTATGTATGTGTGTGAGTTGGGTGTAAATAATTGCTGGTAATAGTTATTAATCAACATAATGCACTAACACAATTTTATCTTGTGATTTATAGCCAGGGCAGTAGGATATACCACAGCTCTTAAATAAATGAACCTGTAAAATATTAACTGGTACAGTGGAACTATTAGGACAATTCTCTTCATGAGAATTTTTTCTGTTACTAGCAAAGTTTCCTCAAATAAGTGAACAAATGGATGTCTGAAGAATGGATCTAAAAGAGGACTGAAAGAAGGCTATAAGCTTTGCGCCAGAGCTAGTTTGTTGATGCTAGTTTAATCTGGTACATGAAGTCACTCAGAGGACACAAGCTCACCTCTCCTTTATTGGTTTCCCTTCATCCTTGCTGAAATTATAAAAATTACCTACAGTCTCTAAATCAAACTTTGTTTATTTTTACTTAAATTAAAAACTTTAATCCAAAACTATGAAAAGTGAAGAAAAGAGAAATAATTCCTAAGACTATATTACACATAGCACTAAAAGCATTTGGGGGTATATTTTCCCTCTGTTGTTTCTTTTCTCTTTATATTTGTATATATCAAAAAACATAAGAATTTCCATGTCTATTGTTCTACTAATTCCACTTCTGGGAATTTTGCTAAAGCTAGAGATAGACACAAAAATGTCCATTATGCTATTATTTCCAGCCAATAATCTAACAACCTAAACATCTAACAATATGGGATATATATATATATATACACACACACACACACACACACACACATATATATATATGTTGTTTGGTGTCTTTAGTCACTCAGTCATGTCCAACTCTTTGCGACCCCATTGACTGTAGCCCACCAGGCTCCTCTGTCCATGGAGGACATGTGTATTTATATATGTGTATATATATACACATATACACATATATACACATATATATTTTTATATATATATTTATTATATATATATACACATATATATTTTTTCCCACTGGATGGAATATGACATAGTCAAAGGTAATGGTTATAAAGACTATGTTACAATAAGGAGAAATGTTCACTGTATTTTAAGTGAAAAATATAAAATTAAAAATAGTATGTATACTGATTAAAAATACATACAAATATATATAGAAAAAATCGGTTGTTTACCAAATTCACTTATAAATGACTTGTACCAGTTTACACTGCACACAAACAAAGAATAAGAATGCTTACTTCATCACACCCTCACCTCATGATTTATCTTCCCTGGTGGCTCAGCTGGTAAAGAATCCACCTGCAATGTGGGAGACCTGGGTTCGATTCCTGGGTTGGGAAGATCCCCTGGAGAAGGGAACGGCTACCCACTCCAGTATTCTGGCCTGGAGAATTCCATGGATTGACTTTCGCAAAGAATCAGATATGACTGAGCGACTTTCACTTTCACTAACCTAGTAATAAAAAACTCGGGAAATAGAGTTTTACATTGAACAGATATCTGCTGCATAATACAGTCAAAAGTAGATTGCCACTTCAAGTCATGGTCCCACATCATCTTCTTTTACTGGTAATAATTACCTACCTAGACCCAATAGGTATTAACCAGAACTTCTTATTATCGCCAAACACTTGCTGGATATTTTTGACGAAGCCAAGGTTGAACCCATTTTTCTCTGGGCCGCTCATAAACACTGGAGTACAGAAGGCCTCTAAGGAAGGGCAGGGAAATTGAAGAAAAGAAGAGAGCAATATTCAGGACTATTATAATTTTACAGTTCTCCATGAATGTGAATTGTTTCTATGGTGTCTTTCTGCTGTGGTACCGTAGGCCCCTCATTCTTAGTTATTGCTAAATTATTTAGTAAAAACTAGCATAATCACTTTACTACAAGGCAAGTTTTTATTAAGTGCAAGGAATTGGCACTCTTTTTTTAAGGCAGAAGAAACACAGGATGATAGAAATCAATGAATAGTAATGGAATAGTATGTATTTTGTACTGCATGTAAGGAGTGAAAAACCAAATCTGAGTGCTTTATTTGAATCTAAATTGTAATAACAGCCAAATGGTCTCTATATTTAGAGCTGGTGCCAAAATAATGATACATAAAGAGATAGTAATGGCATTGATTTGGTTGTGAAACATTTCAGAAATGAAGATGTTCACACTGAAGCCTGCAATGTAAGAAACTGAGTTTTATTCCAGAAAAAATGTCAATGAGTGAACTATAATCACCTCAATGACTATAGAAATTGGACCATGTTAGTGCACATTATTTTTAGATACACATTTATCCCATTAAGCAAACATTTTCATTGTTGGACTCTGGCTGCATCTAGCCATTTCCCTTTTGTTCTTTTTTCAGATTCTGTTATCATGAAGCTTTTAGTACTTTTCTATATTGTGGCTAATCTTTAAACCAAATGTGCTAATCTACCACCCTAGCAACTAAGTGCTACATATATATTTGGTTTAGAAAATAAGTGCAAATACTTCTTAGCTGTCATCATTATTAGCAAATAAATTCCAAAAACATAGTGGCTTTCACACTATACTTTCCTCAAATTTACCTTAGCTAAACATTCAACATTTAGACACTTTCTCCTTAACCCTCATGCATTGATTTGTATACGGTATAAATATTTGTTTCACCATGAAAACAACTGTTGTATCGGACCCATCAGAAATATAGTTCTACAAATAACAGCCCAGAGTATAGAGTAATGGAAAATTTTTCATTTCTTGTGCTCATTTTCTATAGAATCACTTGTTCAACGTGTTTATCTCATTCCCACAGTCCCTACACAGCTCCTTGATAACTGTAGATATTCAATGATTTGTTGGTTTGGATTCTATCTCAGGAGAACGTTTTTAGAAGTGCTCAATGAGATTTTTCTACCTTTGTTGACCTTGACCTCTGCCTTCTGATGTTCCCTTCTGTGCTGATTCTTTCCTGCACTCCCTTATGTGAACACCTTTCAGAAATTTTTAAGCTGCAAATCTAGGGAGCTACCTGGAGAAGGAAATGGCAACTTACTCCAGTACTCTTGCCTGGAAAATCCCATGGACAGAGGAGCCTGGTAGGCTACAGTCCATGGAGTTGCAAATAGTCTGACAGGATTGAGTGACTACACTTTATTAGCCAGTGTGTGTGTGTTGGCCGCTCAGTCATGTCTGACCCTTTGTGACCCCATGGACTGTAACCCACCAGGTTCCTCTGTTCATAGGATTCTCAGTGCAAGAATACTGGAGTAGATTGCCATTTCCTTCTACAGCTTTTACCCAGTATGAACTATAAAAAGCAATGGTCGCTTTTTATGTGAGGTTTTATTCACTAATGTTCTCTTTAGTCTGAAAGTTTCATTTACTATGGCTTTCCAGTTTGGTAAAACGTGTTTACATCTGTCCCTGTTCGGAGGCAAAGAAACGTCATTGCAGCTGAAATGCTTCATTCGAAGTTTTTCTCTTCCTTGGGAACAATCCACTAGTCACAGGGATATATATTCATATGTTTTTTTCCCTAGTCTTAATATCCAATCTTACCTAAGGTAGTTTTGTTTCTGCTGACAAGCCAACAATGGTAACCAAAGAGAATCACAAGGCTGACAAAAAACATGCAGGCCACAAAGAGGAGAAAAAGGACATGGAACTTAGAGCGAACACCAGGCAATTCCCCCTAGAAAAGAAATAATAAACAAACAGAAACAAAGGATTAAAGTTGTAAGGTTTGGGTAGTTTTTCTGTATTGGTTAGTACTTTTTTTCATATATATAAAATGTCTGCTATAATTAAAAGTAGATTTTGTATAATTTTTGCAAAACAGTTCTTTCTGTGGTTGACCATTCCACATTATGGATATGCTTTTGTCCAACACAGCTTAAATGGATCTTTGCTTAAGCGCAGTTCAGTGTAAAATAGAGTATATAATGTGTCAGAAAAGAGTAATGTTAAAAAGAGTATGCTCAGGACATAATTCGTATGCAATTTCTTAAAGCTTGTACTCCATTTAGTTTGTAAATTATGAGTGATTAGCTAGAGGTGATCTTGAGGTCATATCATATGGTTCATCCTCTTGCCTCAAGGTGGCTTACTCTGGAATACTTTATATGTCATGTTTCTTGGGATGTATGTATGTTGACAATGTCACAGTGATATATGTATGAAGTTAAAATACATAGGTAGTATTTTTAAATGTTTTACCTGTAAGTCATGACCTGATCTTAAAACTACTGCAAATTTTATGTGTTTTTTAAATAGCTGAATGTGCTGGTATGTTACATCCTATGAAACAGCTGTTAAGATAGTAAAATCAAGCAAGATTTGACAGGCAATTGTAGAAGTAGGTAGCTAAAGATTTTCATAGTTAGTTGAGACATCTTATTTTCCATATGGCAACAGTTTTTTTTTAATGTAGCCCTATTAGAATGAATGTTCTAAAGTTCTATAGCATGCACAGAATGTAACATTTTGTCTTCTGAAGAGAACCTTAGAAAACATTTTCAATTTTGGAGTAAGCAGTTGGGAGAATGACTTTTCTTTATTTCCCCCTTTCCTGTGCTGATCATTGTTTTGGTATGATGGATTGCTTTGAAATATTTCCAAATGCTCTTAAGTAATAAAGGTGGTTAAAGTGGACCTTGATATTAGGATCTAGTTCTACTACAGTTTGGAAAGAGAAAATTAAGACTTAGAAGCAGTTGGCAAATTCAGATAGTACAGTTTTTTTCTTCTCTTTGAAGAGATATATATATTTATTTTGGTGTAAGGAAATACTAGGAGTCTTCTAGAGAGTATGTGTTTGAAGGATGAAGATAAGAGGAAGTAAACTAGTCAGATGCTTTCAGCTGAGGGGTGGTCTAGGTGAAATTTGCCTGGGGGAAGAGTAGTCCAGGATATGGCAACACCAAGAAATTTGACCTTCAGGAACTTTTATGTGAAGCTCCCTTTTGAAATGATCCCTCTACAAAATCTTGGCTTAACCACTCAAATTGAATTTAATTGATTTTTCTTTCATTCATTTCGAATTTATAGGAAAGAATTTGTGGTGGTTTTTGACTGGCTTGACTTTTGTTTTCAAAATGCCTACTTTTTTATGTTTTAAAGCTCACATTTATTTTACTTATCTTTCATGTTTAAATGGACAATAGCAAATGGCTGGGTAGCAGGGACTGATATAAAGTCAGTTTACACTCTAAGTAGCCGAGCTGAAAGTCTTTCCTCCCTGAATTGCTCCTACAGAAATCTCTTCTGTCTGCCAAAGCATATCTACTGTGTTGTCCTTTGATAAACTCCTTAGATATTTAGCTTTTTTGTTAGAAGAAAGTGACCCTATGTTCAAAATTAACTTCTCAGGAGATAACCAAGCTAAATTACTCAAAGCAATAATCACCAGAAGCAGTTCAGGGGAATACAGGTAGAATAATACTACCATCTCAGTTCTAAAAGAATTCTTAGTCTCTATGAGGAGATTCTTGGCCCCTTGTGAGACGTGTGTATTATTACTTTTTCATAAAGCAAATATCAGTTTGCTATCAAAGTAGCTACTTTTTAAGTTAACATTGAGAGGAGAACCACAGTCTGATGGTCTTCTGAATTATGTATTCCAAAAGAGGTAGAACTTTATAGCAGGACCACAACGGGCAATAAGACATGGTACAGTGTTTAAGACTACTGGGCTGAGAGTCAGTTCAAGTTCTCTCTTCGAAACTTAGAAGCTGGGTGATCCTGAACAAGTCACTTAGCTACTATGACCCTCAGTTTATAATATTTAAATGAGACTAATACTTCCTTCTCTACCTAGTTCACAAGGTTGTGGTGAGGATAAGATGAGATAATAGATATGAAAGTGCTTTGAAAATGGTAAAGTACCATACAAATGGAGGTTGCTGTTCTTAGGAACACAGCTAATCTCCTTGATACATGGCTTTTAAAATACATGGCACCGTTTACTTTTCATTTTAGGGGAAGACTCAATTTAAACTGAGAAAGCCATCTTTAAACCACACCAAAGTGCTCTCTGGCTAGAGAGGCTGCAAAGAAGCATTTCTCTGAACTGTCAATGCCCTTTTCATGATGAGGGCAAGCCAGGGCATGTTTCCTTGCCTCTCATCTGTCAGGTATGAGCTAGTCTATTGCAGAGAGAAAAAATGAAGGAATAGGAAAAGGAGAAGGCTATGTTTACCTCTGATAGGGCTTGTGAATACTGGCACATTTCTGGAGATTAATTCATATCCAGATATTATCTTTTAAGAGTAAAAGAAGCATACTGCACTGGGCTAGCATTATGGTATTTGATTACTTGCTAGGTAGGAGGACCCAAGGCAAATGTATGAAATACAACTAGTTCTTTAACAGTAGCTTACTGTATCAAGGACCAAGTAAAGTCTGTAGTGAAGACCAAGGCTGATACTTTCCCTGCTGAATTGAATGCAGGAGATTTTCTTTATGGTCAAGGTAGTAGTTCAGTATGTGAAGATAATGCCAAACAGGCAATAGAAACCTGGGCAGTAGATAAGAGATCCTGTGATGTGGAAAGCAGCCAAAGAAGAGACATAAGGATGATGAAGCATTTTGTATTTGGGGAAAATTTGTGAGAAAACTTCACATCTGCTTATACTTTTATATCCCTGAGTTGAAGATTTTGATATGCATTATATAATGACTGATTCTTAAAGTTATTAGATATGGGAATTGATTAAGCAAGTTGAGGTGAGAATGGAAAGTCCATACCTCTGTAATTTTCTACACTAGTACAGCAGAAAGTACTAATTAATAATTTACATATTCTCAGCTATTTAGGTTCTTACTGCCTTGTCTTTCTACTTTTTTCTCCAGTTTTTTTATAACCTAGATTCTAGTCACTTGCTTTACCTCTCCCCTTGAGGTGAGATATTCCTGTTATACAGGCTCTTGTCCAATTCCTAAAGTAATAACTAGTAGCTCTGCCCACAACTGCTTTTTGCTATACCAGTTCACTTTGGAAAGCCCTCATCATGTAAGGTTATGTCTTAATAATTATAGTTGTGGGAAAGACATATTCTGGAGTTCTTTGGCATGAAATTTAAAATATATATTTCACTATACTGCTGCCAGATCCTGTAAACATATACAAACTGAAAATCTGCCTTCAATTCTTTTGGGAATAGGTAGAATATAACTGATATCTTCAAGCAGAAGAAACGTGAAAGGATTTTTTAAAAAAATATTTCATTATAATTATTGGAATCATGTTTTGAAAGGTAAAGTACTTTCAACATCTGTTTCATTTGATCTTGGCAAAGATCCAGTGAAGCAGGTAGCAGGGCCAGTATGAGAACTCAGTTATCCTAAAAGCCAACCCAGAGTTTGTCAAAGTTCAAATAAGTTCCTTAATAAGGAGAGACTGGAAAAACAAGTTCATGTCTCATGTGTTTCTTCCTTTTCATTTGGTCTTTTGTGAAGATGAGTTAATGAATCTTTCCAATAGGAGTAGGAATTGAATCTTCTTTGAACAGGGAATTAGAAAGTATTTTCTGGCAATGAGGGAGTACTTCGTCAGCCTTTGTCTCAGGAAACTAGGGATCTAGAATTAGTTTCAATATTTTTCAAACCTAAAATTGGTAAGAAGTGGATTTTTAAAACTTGATTAGATAAATACATTGTAAAGACTCAGTAAGAGTAAAGAGATTAGGTTCATGGAGGCCCAACAAGGTTCTCATATGTAATAGTAAATTGTTTAACTGACATCTAAATAATAGCCTCCTAAATCTCAGAATATTTAACATGGGAGACTCGTTTACTGTTTCTTCCTTTCTGATTAATTCAGTATTAACTACTAAGAATGTAAAAAAAAAAGTAAGTTGAACAAGGTGACAGATTGGAGCAGGTGTGTATTCTGGCGGGGGGTGGGGGGACCAGAAGGGGGGACCCTTCTGGATTATTTAACTTACTCTCCAGTATTTGATGAAATAGCTGAAGACCGTTGTAGCAATGTACAGGCAATAGAGAACAGAATAAGCTAAGAACTGAAGGAAGAATTTATAGTTGGAAAATCCAATGCAGTTATTAACCCTAAAAAAGGGAAAAAAAGAAAAACATTTGAAATCAGGATCCATTGATTTAGAACACACTGAGAGACAGTGAAATATGTTACCCCTGCTGCTTCATTTTCTGCTGTACAGAAAACAGGAATTGAAGTCCCTTAATAGGAACAGATTGGAAAAATAAGTTCATGTCTCACTTGTTTTTCCTTTTATTTATAGACACAGAAACACCTGGCCTATATAATAGGTTTCTGACACATCCAAGCAAACCTTGATCTTGGATTCTGAAAACCTATTAGAATCTCAGCAACTATACTTATTATAGTATGGTATATTCTCTTTATCATGGTTTCATACTGGTTCTTTGGGTCAGATATACAAAATTTAGAAAAGAATTGCTTACATTAACAATCTAGAGTATTTCAAACATCAAAATGCTAAAAACAGAACTGAATTGTGTAATGTCAAAGATAACTATTTGTGCTCTCTTTCATTATTATAGCTAATGGACAAGAGACCATTAGTTCTGTGACACCAGGAATTCATTGTCACACCATTGTTGGTATATTTATTCTTGCTTTAAAATGTTATGCCTTCCCTGTTACCTACATAAACAGGCATTTTACAACTATGCTTAGGAAAGTAGGCATATTGAGCAACTTTGACCCTATTAGATGAGAGAAATGAATCAAAAGGACATACCATGGGCAATGATGGTCCATTTTTAAAACACACCTACAAAAGGAACAAAATACAGTGTGATAAATTTCAGAATTGAATTCAAGTTATCCAGCAGTATTTTTACATGGTACCAATACACTCATTCCTAGATTTACACTATAGCTTCTCCAAAACTATTGTGTCCTCAGTTGTTCCTAGGATAAGCCAATCACTAAAATTTAGGATCTTGTTGGCAGCAAGTTACATGCCTACAATTCAACCTTTAAAAGCCATTGGGAACTCTAGGATATTGACACAGAGAATAGGTCCAAGATATCTCCCCTCACTTTACTTACTTAGTTGAATAAAAGTAAAAAATAAAACATGACCACAGCCTATGCTTGAATCAAGGTTAAGAGAAACATGGATGAAACAAGCACTTAAGAAGGACATGAAGATTATATTTATTAGCATAAAACTGGGATTTTACAAAGCTGGAGGAATTTGAGTAATAAAATTAAGTAGCATTGACTTATAATCCCAAAGATAAAATTATTATCCATGTCCACATGGGCTTCCCTGATGGCTCAGTCGGTAAAGAATCTGCCTGCAATGCAGGAGACCCCGATTCGATTTCTGGGTTGGAAAGATCTGCTGGAGAAGGGATAGGCTACCCACTCCAATATTCTTGGCTTCCCTTGTAGCTCAACTGGTAAAGAATCTACCTGCAATGCAGGAGACCTGGGTTCGATCCCTGGGTTGGGAAGATTCCCTGGAGAAGGGAAAGGCTACCCACTCCAGTATTCTGGCCTGGAGAATTCCATGGATTGTACAGTCCATGGGGTCACAGAGTCGAACACGACTCAGCAACTTTCACATATTGATATAAGTAAATGATTGAATAAATAAATGAGGGAGAAGAGACAAATCTCCCATGTAGAGGAATTCCAAATAATTTTTGTAGATATTGGGCCTTCAGGGTGGGGAGTGGGGGGAGGATAACATTCCTTTAGTGTTGGCTGCACACCGAAACTTCCTTCTACAGAGTACAGTATGGAAGACAGGGTGGAGGAAGAGTAGCTTTACAGTGGAGAAATCTGACAAACACTCCTCAGTCAGATGATTAGCACTGCAGTGATAAGTTATGTCTATAGTATTTACCCTTGATATGATTCAATGAAAATTACTCTTAACCTCTCTAGTCTTCCTTTCCCAAAAGACATTACTCAAATCTTATCATGAGAAAAATATCAGACAAATCCTTAGAGTATTCTACAAAATATCTGACAATTCTAAAAACTGTCAAGGTTATCAAAAATAAGTAAAGTCTGAGAAACTGTCACAGCTAAGAGGAGCCTATGAAGACATGACAATTAAATGGTATCCTGGAACAGAAGAAGGATGTTAGAGAAAAACTGAGGAAATCTAAATAGTGTATGGACTTTGGTTAAAAATTAAAAAAATAATGTTGGTTCATTAATTTTCACAAATGTACCATATTAACACAAGATAATAATAGGGAAAATGGTGCAGGATATATGAAAACTATGTTTACAATAATTCTATAAATCTAAAACTGTTCTCAAATAAAATGTTTCTTTTTAAAAATGTGTTTTGAGTTCTCTTTCTTATCTTTAGAATAGTTTGAATCATCATCATCTCTATTAGGGTATTTGGCATGTACTCATCATGATTGAAAGGAAATGCTCTTTAGGATCAACATACTAGAATAAGTCACTTGGTTGTCAAGGCAACCATCAGTGGCCAAGCTCAGCCTAGGGGAATTATGGCTGTCACTTACATGGCACAGACAGAACAGTGGTGGCAGCGATCTGGCTTGATCAAATGGCACCGGTCACAGAATCTTACAGCTGTAGGAAAAATAAGGTAGTTAGCATTGGTTAGGGATCAATAAGAAACCAAATATCTTACTAACCTATCTAGATGACTTGTTATACACTGATTACAGGTATCCAAACTCACCTCACTTCAAGTAAACAAGCAAAAGATCACATAAGAGAATTGTGGTATGTATTTTTTCCCTGTTGGATAAATCGTAAAAGCACCATTTGGAGGATGAGTGTAAGGGGGAAAGTTTTCATATCTGGATATCTGATCATAAAATTCTGTATTATGAAACAAACTATACTGTCAATTACTTGAGTTATTTTGGGGAAATCATTTACCCTCTGTTTACTCCAAGTTTCCTATCTGAAAACAGAATTCATCATTTATCTCCTGTCTCCAGAGGTTGGACTGTATGAGGAGGATAAAACTCCTAAGGTATGGTAAAGAGGGTGGTTCTTAGAATAAGAATTTGAATAATAGAAGAGACATTCTAGAACAGTTAGTTCAACTGACCATTCTGCAGAAAAAGAAAATAAAGACCTGAGCTATATCAAGTGACTTACACAAAGTCACATAGTAAGCAAGTAGCAATGGCAGGGCTATGACTTGTAGAGTTTTTATGACCCTTTAGTTCAGGATTCTCTTCACTTTGTAAATATGATATAAATAATATTTCTCCTTCCCTCTCTACCTTCTTCCTTCTTTTCTTTATTTCCTTAGATAAAAGACATTTTCCTTTCCTTCTAACTTTCTCTGTGTTCATTGATAGAGTATGCCTGTTTAATGCGACTATTAAGTTTAACAAAATTATGAATAATTTGAGCTAATATAAAAATTCCATCTAAAGTGTACCTTAAGCATACATAACTGATTCAAATTCAGCAGAGTTTCTGTGTTCATTCTACAAGGGACATGCATGTTTAGGTCCTTCAGCATGTTTTAAAAAATATGGTCAAATGCCACTATCCAGTTTAAGCCACTATCACTTCTAATTTAGAAGACTGAAATAATTCCTAATTATTCATTTTGCTTTCATTCTTGCCCCTTCACAATACATTCTTTACAGAATAGCCAAATGATTTGTCAAAATCTAAATCAGATCTTATCACTCTCCACTAAAAACCTTCAGTGGATTTCCAACACTCTTAGCATGGCAAGTCCCCCTGTTTTTTGGCCACACTGTGTGGCTTGCAGGCTCTTAGTTCCCAAACCAGGGACTCAGCCTGGCCCCAGCAAGTAAAAGCACTGAGTCCTAACCACTGGATCACCAGGGAATTTCTGCAAGTAATTTTTTCTTATTTGAGTCCCAGATCATATGACATTGCCTAAGAGAAGCCCTCTCTATTACTGTGTATCAGGGATGTGAACAAATGCTTCAACGGTTGAGGGAACAGTGATTAGTGAAGAACCTGAGAATTCATGCCTTGTTTAAAGAGGCACTACCACTTGGCTTTAGCTAATTTTTGCCATTGGGAAATACAAATCGAATGTTGCCAGTGTCTGAGTTTTCAAAAGAAGTCAGAAATGTGGATTTTCATGAAGAAATATTCAAATTGTTAAAAATTAGTAAAAAATACAAAGTTTTAAAAGACATATGAGATCAGAAAGAAGACACCTCTGGTTCCAATTCATCCCATATAACTCTAGTTTGTAATCTATTCTCTACCACACCATTCTGCTTACTACTGTTTGGAATTATATAGATAATTTCCTGACTGTTTCCTTTTCACCATATTTCAGTATGCATGAAGACTTTTTAAAAACCAGCATGCACTAATCCTCTAACAAAATAAACAATAAATCTTTAATATCATCTAATATCTAGATTATATTGAAACATCCCCAGTTGTCATATGGGATCTTAATAAATATTTGTTGAGCAAGTAAATGATAAGTAGATGAACATAAACGTCTAACAGTATACTTCTCAAACCCTGAAACATGATCTTCCTTATTAGAAGCATTAGAATTACTTGCCAAAAAAAACCTTGGTTTTCTTTTCCCTTTTTAGGACCTTTATTTATTTATTTATTCTTGTCATTTAATCATCAAAGTAACTTTTGGATACAGGCAGTATTAACCTCATTTAATAGGGGAAGAAACTGGGGACTCAGAAAGGTCAATTGCTGAATGTCACATAAGGAGGAATAGGTAAGACTTTTTAATGTTCTCACTAGCTATTTTATATATTTGGAATCTTGAAAAATAGTATAGATGATCTTATTTGTAAAGCAGAAATAGCAATACAGACACAGAGCAAAAAGCCTTAGTTTTCAAATTTTAAAAGGTGAATTATTCAGCTAGTATTGTTCCACTCATGCAGAAGAAAACTAACAATAAGCCTCCATAGCGAATATCACCAAGGAAAAATGAAGACATATCTCTGCACAAACACTTGTACAAGAATTTTCATAGCAGATTTACTCATAATAGCTGAGTACTGGAAACAATCCAAAAAACCATCAACTGGTAAATGGATAAACAAATTATGATATTCATACAATGAAATACTACTCAGCAATAAAAGGAATGAAATACACAAGAATGTGAATGAATCTCTGGAACATTATGCTGAATAAAAGAAGCCAGATACAACAGTACGTACTGTATAATTCCATTTATACAAAATTCTAGAGTAGGTAGAACTAATTAATGGTAGAAAACTCTTAGAATAGTGGTTGTCTTTGGTGGTGGTGGTGGGACTGATTGGGAAGGAGCATGAGAGAACCTTCTGTGGTGTGGTAATGTTTACAGAGGTTTTGGTTACACAGGTGTATACATTTGTCAAAACACTAAATGGTACACTAAGATCTGTGCATGTTTGTTGTATGTAAATTTCATCCAAAAAAGAATAATAAAATATTTAGGTGTATCTTGGGTACTTTGGAATGCATCAAAAAATAAGATGGGACTTCTGTGGTGGCCCAGCAGTTAAGAATACACCTGCCAATGCAGGGGACATGGGTTTGGTCCAGGAAGACCCCACAAGCTGAAGAGCAACTAAGCCTATGCACCACTACTACTGAAGCTTGCACTCCTCAACAAGAGAAGGCACTGCAATAACAAGCCCATGCATTGCAAGAAAGAGGGGCTCCCACTCGCTGCAACTAGAGAAAGCCTGCATGCAGGAATGAAGACCCAGAATAGCCATAAATAAATATTAAAAAAATAAGATGGCTTGCCATCATTTAAAAGTCTACAAATAACAAATGCTGGAGAGGATGCGTATGGAGAAAAGGGAGCCCTCCTACTCTGTTGGTGAGAATGTAAATTGGTATGGCCACTATGGAGAGCAGTATGGAGGTTTCTTAAGAAACTAAAAATAGAACTACCATATGACCCAGCAATCCCACTCCTGGGCACATATCTGGAGAAAATCGTACCTCAAAAAGATACATATACCCCAACGTTCATTGCAGTACTATTTACAATAGCCAAGACATGGAGGCAACCTAAATGTCCATCAATAGACGAATGAACAAAGAACTTGTGGCACACAATGGAATACTACTCAGACATAAAAACGAATGAAATAATGCCAATTACAACAACATGGATGGACCTAGAGATGATCATACTAAATGAAGTCAGACAAAGACAAATACCACATGATATCACATGTGTGGAATCTGAAATACAATACAAATGAATTTATTTACAAAACAGAAACAGACTCACAGTCATAGAAAACAAATTTATGATTACCAAAGGGAAAGGTGGGGGATAGATAAATTAGGGGTTTGGGATTAGCAGATACAAACTACTATATATAAAATAAACAATAAGGACCCACTGTATAGCACAGGGAACTGTATTTAGTATCCTATAATAAACCGTAATGGAAAAGAATATAAAAAAGAATATATATATGTTTATATATGTTTAACTGAATCACTTTGCTATACATCAGAAACTAACACAAAATTGTAAATCAACTATACTTCAATAAAAAAAAAATTTAAAAAGACAACCTGATGGATGATGGATAGAGGAATGGATTTGTAGACAGATTCATGATAAAGTAATATAGTTAAATGTTAGTGGTGGACTCAAGTTATGGATATACAGATGTTTATAAGGTAATTATTCCATAAATGTTTGACATTTTTTTATACTACGTTGAGAAAAAACTCCACAGTGTTTCTCAGAAGAAAGGAGGGAAAAGTGGGCTAGACTGAGGATATTTATGACTCAGTCTTTCTGAGATCCTTGTAGATCTGCCTCCCTAAATGACTTTGGATGAACTGACCTCCACTCCCAGTTCTTGTGTAAACTGGTAGCTTCTTGGCCATATCAACAAGCATCTGCTTCTGGACCTCAGGTCTCTCTTCATTTTCATAGCGCTCCTTGTCTGTATAGGACAAGTGGAACTGCAAGGAAAAGTGAGAGAGGCAAGACTTTATTTTCCAAGGTTCACAGAAAAGATTAAAGACAACAACAACATCTATTTAGATGAAAATAATTGTTACCTACCCTTTGATATTCAGGTACCAATTTGGCTTATAACTTTCTCTGGATAATTATCTCATTTATCTTATCTGGCTTTTATCTCAATATTCATAACTCTATGTGATAGGTAATATTGTTTTATAACCTAAGAAAATAAAATATATTGTTTTATAACCTAAGAAAATAAAATCTAAGTACCTTGTCTATGGTTATACTCAACTCAACTAGTAAAAGCAGCAAAACTAAGACCCAAACCAATTCACCAAGACTTATGCCATTTCCACTCCACTATACCATATGATGTTGCATGTTAATAAGTGATACTTTGCTGCCAGGATCCTGTTGATGATAAGCTATGCTTTTTATTAAGTTGTGAGTATTCTTCATAGGTGTCCTCTTGGAGAAGTTGGATGAGACTACTTGCAACTTTGTGTATTCTAATTTTGCAAATGAATAGATAATCGGATATTTTCACTATTTCAGAAGTTTTTAGTCTGGTATGGAGCTTGTTGCCACGTTTGTGCCACACTTTGCTAATCTTGCCCAAAAAAGGGGGGGGGGCAATGATTTTCCAAAGTAATACAGACCTGTAAGTTTTCTTCTGTTTGGGCCAAACGATAGCAGAGGTGAAAAAGAAAAAGACCTGTGATCAGATTTTCTCGGTTTCAACTTCATCTCTGCCATTTAATAGTTCAAAAATCACTTTGGAAAATCAGACACTATCAACCTAAGTTTCCTCATCTGTAAAATAGATGAAATAATACTTTTCACATGAATGGTGTAAGAGTGCTAGGTAATAAATAACAAGTAACTAAATGTCTCTTTTACAAGTAAAATTTCTTAAATCATTCAAATATTTGATATTGCCGATCTCTAAACTTTTAACTATTCTAGATAGCATGTAGTAGTTATGTTATTGTGATCTTATTCTGCACTATTTTGACTACTAATGACATTCAGCACCGTTTTGAGTTTATTGCCCATTTGGGTATCTACCTGTGAAATGCCTATTCAAACCTTTTGTCCATTAAAAGTAATTGCGTTACATGTCTTTTTTAATTATTGATTTGTATTGTAATGATTTGAGTAATTTATATATTTTGGATACTAGTCCTTTGTTGAATATTTTCTAAAAGTCTGTGGCTTTCCCCTTTACTTCCTTTATGGTGCATTTTGAGGAACAGAAAATCTTGGCGGGACTGTAGAGTTATGCAACGACTTTGGAAAACTGTTTAATATTATCTATGTAGGCTAAATATATGCCAGCTCTATAACTCAGCAATTCCATTCCCAGTTATATACCTAAGAGAAATGAGTGTGTGTGTGTGTTTGCATGTTTGTGTGTATTCCAAAAGACAGGTATAAGATCGTTCATAGCAACTTTATTCATAACAGAAAAAATGGTAACAAGTGTCCCTTAATTGGTGAATTGATAAATCAATTGTGATAAAAGAGATTAACTAATAGCAGTAAAAGGGAATGAACAACTGAAACATGCATCAGTATGAATGAATCTGGAAAACATTACACTGAGTGAAAGGATTACACACAACAGTATATACTATGATTCTTTTTTTGTGTGAGGTTCAAGAATAGGCAAAATTAATCCATGGTGGTTACCTCTGAGAGGAAATTGATTTGGAAAGGGTATGAAGGAGATTTCTGAGGTGTTAGAAATATTCAAAATCTTAACATGGATAGTGATTATATGGGTGTAAATATAGGTAAAATTTATGAAATCATACACTTTACAGCTTAGTTCTTGGAAACGAGTATGTATTTATACATCAATAAAATAGTAAAACAAATAAATTAATAAAACATTTAAGATAATTTAATGTATCTAACTTTAAAAACTAGAAACGTATAGAGTCAAACACCATTTTAAAAACCATACCTGTGGTGCATCCTTATGGTATCATGTTATTCTAAAGTAGACTGACTGCCTACAAGTATGTGGAAATGTGTAGGGGAATTTTTGGCTATCACAATAAATATAGTGCACTATAGGCATTTAACAGGTGGAGGCCCAGGTAGCCAAGGATTCTGTGATGAACCGTACAGACACACACACTAAGAAATTTTGCAGCCAGAAGTATATAGATCAATATTATAAAATGTTAACCAAATAATGCAAATTTAATATAAAAACAAGTGGCAATTGTTTTCTTATAAGAAAAATATTAATTGGAAAGTGTAAAGTTTTATTTTTTAATTTATTTTTATCTTTTTATTGAAGTATAGTTGATTTAAAAGTATAAAGTTTTAAACAATTCTTGCTAATGTGGATAATTAAAAGTAGCACCTTGGGGAAGCTCTTTAAGTTCAGGGATGTTCTTGGGACTGTGACTTTGTTGTCTTATACTGTTCCAGCTTGAAAAACAGAGACAATATTGTTACAGCTTGTATGTGATGAAACCTTGTGGTTATACAACAAGTGGGCTTTGGTTTGGAGTAAGATGTCATGCCTGGATGTCCTATTTCTGGCACTAACCAAGTGTTTTTAATGATTAGAATGCAATGAGCCAGAAAATGTGTTTTAAGTAGGACAATTGGTGATAAATCAGGATGTATTTGGTTTTAGAGAAATTAATATTATGGCTATCAAATAGGCCCAAATGATTCACCTTTTTTATATGGGAGTGTAGATTTATGCAACCACTTTGGGAAACTTTGGCATTATCTACCTGAACTAAACATATGCCAAAATATTCACTTTTTCTTTTTACCAATTAAAAATGATGAACATGTGGCCTTAAATGTTAGACATTTGCAGTGATTAGCTCAATCCATGCTGATTATCATCATCCATGCTGATTTCCCCAGCAATCTTTTCTGTGTGGTTATTCTCCATTTTTGTTCCACTGTGTTGCTTCAGGTTCTTAAATTATACACTTGAGCCCTCCAAGGGATATTTTCATTTATGTATAGCTGTCAGTTGTTTTTTGTGGGGGGTGGATAGAGGCTGGTATCTTCTACTCTGCCATCTTTCTGACATCACTCAGTCAAATCTTTCTCCTTTTTTCTTCCTTTCACTTTCAACCTATTTACATCTTTGGTTCTAAAGTGAGCCACTTATAGACAACATAAAGATAGATAATAATGTTTATCTATTATGCAAATATCTGCCTTTTACTTAAATATTTCAAATCATTACTCATAAGAAAGAACTTTTGCCATTTTCTACTTTCTATATATGTAATATCTCATGTTTCTCAATTCTTGCATTGCTACTTTACTTTGTTTTATAAAAATTTATTGGAACAGAATTCATCTACAATGTTGTATTAATTTCTGGCATACAGCAACGTGATTCAGTTATGCATACGCACATATATATATATACTCTTTTTTAGATTTCTTTTCTTATACAGGCATACAGGTTATCATAGAATATTGAATACAGTTCCCTGTGCTATACAGTAGGTCCTTGCTGGTTATCTATCTTGTATGTAGTCATGTGTGTATGTTCATCCCAAGCTCCTGATTTATCCATCCCCACAATGTTTCCCCTTTGGCAACCATAAGTTTGTTTTTGATGTCTGTAAGCTTGCTTCTGTTTTGTAAATAAGTTCTTTGGCATCATTTAAAAAACTTAGATTCCACATATGAGATATCATATGATATTTGTCTTTCTCTGTGTTTAATTTTATTTTGTATGTGTACAATTTTTATTCCATAAGTGGGAAAACTAAAATCAGTACTTTTCCTAATTTTGGGAGGCTGTTGAAATTTCTTCCATTGTTTTATTTCCTACTTTGGAAACTAATCTGTGTTACAGTAATCACATGTTATAAGTACCTGATATGATTAGAAATTTTTCATGTACCCTCCCAAATATTGCATGGGAGGGAACACATTCATGTGTTCATTCAAGGGAACACAGTTTGAAAATGATCAATTTAACTATTGTAATTTTTCTCATTGTCTCACTGAGTTCTAAATTATTACAGTTTCATAGAATTCTACTAGATGAGTCCTCAGAATCCAAGTGATTCCTTGTTTCGCTCATTATCTTAACAATGCAGGTAGTAGTTTCCTAGTCTTAAAGATATCAATAGCTGGTGATTTCACAAACTCCTTCAATAGACTATGTTAATTTTAATTTACATTTATCACTCCAAGTCCTTTTTAAAGATTACCTTGAATCTCTCTTTTGTAATGGAAGGTTATTTGCTCCTCTTTTTGCCCTCTTCTTGCCTTATTGGCATTTCTACTTTCCTCTGTCTTTAGTCTTTATGAAGTAACCAGTATTCTTACCTTCTGGTTTGGCTGTTGTGGTAGTGTAAAAATAGACTTCCAGTAGGTCCAGGTAAAGAACACAAGGATGGCATGGTAGAATATGAGGTAGATAACTGAAATTTAAGGGAAAAAATCAGCATATATGTTATATTTTCACCCATTTCTAAGAGTTCAGAAAGATGTAAAGCTCAACAAAAAATCTCTATTTTGTTTTCCTATTACCAAGTATTTTCTAGTATTATTATGAAACGTTAATTTTTACCTTTTCCCTATACAGTGACACAAACAATTTATAATGCCAAATTTGCAATCAGAGACTTTCTGGGAGTTGCATATTTTAAAAGTTACCACATGATCCTGGGAGTAAAGGGGAAATGTCCCTTATGATAATGTGAGGGGGAGCTACTGTTGCCAATTGTCATTCTCTCTGCCACTATGCATACTGAAAGATAATGATAGTATTTGCACAGTGCTATAGAGTTTACAATGTGCTTTCATAATGTTATCTAATTTTATTTTTTCAACACATTTGTGAGATAAATAATAAGTAATAGATAAGCAATAAGGATAGTTGATCAACTATCAGGGTAGTTGATTATCCGAAGTCACACAGCTACTATACAATGTGTGTGTGTGTGCTAAGTCATTTGTCATGTCTGTCTCTTTGCGACCCTATGGACTGTAGCCCTCCAGGCTCCTCTGTCCATGGGATTCTCCAGGCGATAATACTGGAGTGGGTTCCCATGCCTTCCTCCAGGGGATCTTCCAGATCCAGGGATCGAACCAGCGTCTCACATCTCTTGGATTGGCAGGCAGATTCTTACCAGGAGTGCCACCTGGGAAGCCTCCACTATACAGAGTAGCCAGGTCTTAAACACAGGGCTTCTGACTCTAAATCACAAGTTTTCTTTTCAGTTGCCCCAGCGACTACACATTTTGAAATGTGAGATGTACTTTTGAGACATTTGTGGCTCCCCATCTCTTTTTATACTCTGCCTCCTAGATAGCTCTTCTGATACAGGAAAGTTCAGTATTCTCCAGAGCCATTTTGAGACTAAACGTCATTTTACTGTTTCATTGTGAATCCTTGTATGATAAAGTTTTATTACTTCAATCTATGAGGAAGACTCAAGGGAATGCTGTGACTTGAGACAAAGGTAATAGGGCCGATTCTCTCATATATTGATAATAGAATGGAAAAAAGCTGGCACAGTACTCTCAGTCCTATGGTACAAGATCTTTTTAATGACTTGTTTTGTGTAATTGTGAAATCTCATTTCAAATTCAAGCAATAGAAAGCAAATGTCCACCACACACACATATACAATCTCCTCCCTCTCCCTCCTAAAGCAAAATACTTATTTTGTGTTTGATGTGTATCTTTCCAGATCCTCTATTTTCATATGTCTATATAAATATCAGTGTATAAACACAATAAACATATGTAATTTTTGTTATAATAAATTTTTTTCATTGTATTTTGAAAGGTAATACATTGAAAAGGTTGAAAATAGTACACAGTGAAAAGTCTCCCTTCTGTCCTTGTCCTTCAGACATCCAGATTCCACCCCCTCCCCCACCGGAAGCAACAGATGTCATACTATCATGACTTTATTCTGCATCCTATCAGGTTTTATGCACATAAAGGCACCAAAACAATGGGTTTTTTCAAACAAATAGCATTGTTTTGCATCCTACTTCTATTTCACTTGCTTTGAGTTGGAGACCATTCCACTTAGTACAACTTGGAGAGAGTGAGCTTCCTTATTTTCCTTTTAAAAAGTGGCATGGATTAAGATTTATCAGAACCTCCCTGAAAGACACCTCTTTGCAAAGAAAAGCCACCAAACAGAAAAGGAGGGAATCCTTCAAGAAACAGTTTCCACTGAGTCAGAGACTTCCATTGTGTTCTTGTGCACTGGCATTTGGAACTCAAGTTAAGGCTCTTTCATTTCTGGTGAAATTCCTCCTGGTAAATTGGACCTAGGCTGGTCTTTGGAGAGAGATCAAGCCCTGAGTCTTTGGAGTGAGAGCACTGACTTCTAGACTATAGACAACCAGAGAACTAACCCTCAGTTCAGTTCAGTTCAGTTCAGTCGCTCAGTCATATCCGACTCTTTGCGACCCCATGAACTAACCCTAGGGAATGTCAAATAGTGAGAACTCACACAAAGGAAACCACTGAATACAAGACCCGGCATCACCCAACCACCAGTAGCACCCTGTGCAGGATGCCTCATCTAAACAACAAACAAAACAAAACAAAACAAAAAGCAAATGCAATCGTCAGCAGACAGGATAACCACCTCACTCAGTTTGCCCATCAGAGGAAAAACAAACAAACAAAAGCTCAGAACAAATCTCACCCTAATTGAAGCTTACACAAACCACTGGACCAAACTTAGGAGGGCAGAAACCAAAAGAAAGAAAGAATTCAACCTTGAAACCTGGGAAAAGGAGACCTCAAACACAATATGCTAAAAAAAAAAATTAAAAGAGAAACACTACACAAATGAAGGAACAAACTAGAAACATAGAAGTCCAAATAAATGAAGAGGAAATAAATATGCTGTTTACAGGAAACACACTTCAGACCTAAAGACACATATAGACTGAAAGTGAGGATGGAAAAATATATTCCACGCAAATGGGAAGCAAAAGAAAGCTGGAATAGCAATCCTCATATCAGACAAAATAGACCTTAAAATAAAGAAGATTATAAGAGATAAGGAAGGACACTACATAATGATCAAGGGATCAATCCAAGAGGAAGACATAACAATTGTAAATATCTATGCACCCTATATAGAAGCACCTTAATACATAAGACAAACACTAACAGACATAAAAGGAGAAACTGACAGTAACACAATAATACTAGGAGACCGTAACACCCTGCTCACATCAAAGGACAGATAATCAAAACAGAAAATTAATAAGGAATCACAAGTCTTAAATGGTACATTAGATGAGATGGATCTCACTGATATCTTCAGGACATTCTATCCAAATGCAGAAGTATACACTTGCTCCTCAAGTGCACACGGAACATTCTCCAGGATAGACCACATCTTGGGTCACAAATCAAACCTCAGTAAATAGAAGAAAATTGAAATTGTATGAAGCACCTTCTCTGACCACAATGCTATAAGACTAGATATCAATTGCAAGAAAAAAACTGTAAGAAACAAAAACATATGGAGATTATACAACACATTTGAAATAACCAACAGGTTACTGAAGAAATCAAAACAGAAATAAAAAAAAATTCCAGAAACAAATGACAATGAAAACGCAACAACTCAAAACCTATGGGATGCAATGAAAACAGTTCTAAGAGGGAAGTTTATAGCAATACAATCCTACCTCAAGAAACAACAACAAAAAAAAACCACCAAATAGACAACCTAACTTTACTCCTAAAACAACTGGAAAAAGAACAAAAAACCCACAAAAATTAGTAGATGGAAAGAAATCATAAAGATCCAAGTAGAAATAAATGAAAAAGAAATGAAAGAAACAATAGTAAAGATTAATAAAACTAAAACTGGTTCTTTGAGAAGATAAACAAAATTGACAAGCCTTTAGCCAGACTCATCAAGAAAAGAGAGAAAAATCAAATCAACAAAATTAGAAATGATAAAGAAGTTACTACAGACAATGCAGAACTACAAAGGATTATAAGAGACTATTATGAACACCTATATGACAATAAAATGGACAGATTCTTAGAAAAGTTCAATGTTTCAAGACTGAAACAGGAAGAAATAGAAATTACGAATGACCCAATTGCAAGCACTGAAATTGAAGCTGTGATAAAAAATCTTCCAAAAACCAAAAGCCCAGGACCAAATGGCTTCACAGGAGAATTCTATCAAGCATTTAGAGAAGAGCTAATGCCTATTCTTCTAAAACTCTTTCAAAAAATTGCAGAGGAAGGAACATTTCCAAACTCATTCTATGAGACCACCATCACCCTGATACCAAAACCAGACAAAGACAACACAAAAAAAGAAAACCACAGGTCAATATCACTGATGAACACAGATGCAAAAATCCTCAACAAAATTTTAGCAAACAGAATCCAGCACCACATCAAAAAGCTCATACACCATGATCAAGTTGGATTGATTCCATGGATGCAAGGATTTTTCCATATATGAAAATTAATCAATGTGATACACTGCATCAACAAACTGAAAGATAAACACCGTATGATAATCTCAACAGATGCTGAAAAATCCTTTGACAAAATTCAGCACCCATTCATGATGAAAACTCTTGAGAAAATGTGCAAGGAAGGAACCTAACTTAACATAGTAAATGTCATATATGATAAGTCTACAGCAAACATTATTCTCAATGGTGAAAAACTGAAAGCATTCCTCCTAAGATCAGGAAAAAGACAAGGGTTCTACCTAAGGGACAGAAGAACTGTACACAGAAAAGTATAAGACACTAATGAAAGAAATCAAAGATGTCATAAACACATGGAGAGATATTCCATGTTCCTGGGTGGGAAGAATTAATATTGTAAAAATGACTATACTACCAAATGCAATCTACAGATTCAATGCGATCCCCACCAAATTACCAATGGCATTTTTCACAGAACTAGAACAAAAACTTTCACAACTCATATGGAAACACAAAAGACCCTGAATAGCCAAAGCAGTCTTGATAAAGAAGAATGGAGCTGGAGGAACCAACCTTCCTGACTTCAGATTATACTACAAAGCTATGGCCATCAAGACAGTATGGTACGGGCACAAAAACAGAAATATAGACCAATGGAATAAGATAGAAAACCAATAAATAAACCCATGCACCTATGGGTACCTTAGTTTTGACAAAGGAGGCAAGACTATACAGTGGGGCAAAGACAGCCTCTTCAATAAATGGTGCTGGGAAAACTGGACAGCTACATGTAAGAGAACGAAATTAGAAGACTTCCTATCACCAAACACAGAGATAAACTCAAAATGGATTAAAGACCTAAATGTAAGACAAGAAACTATAAAACTCTTGGAGGAAAACATAGGCAGAATACTCTATAACATAAATCAAAGCAAGATCCTCTATGACCCACCTCCTAGAGTAATGGAAATAAAAA